CCGCGCTTGTACCTACATAGCTCTGCTGATTAAATGTAGAGCTGCCTGATTCACCGGTGAAAAAGGACTGGCTTCAACGGATATACAACCTCCGACACCCTGAGTGTGTACTGTCGCGTCCGACGCACACGGACCAACGTCTGCTGAGTCGTACCTTGACAAGTCAAGTCAAGGCCGAGTCTCAAAGTGCCAGTTTAGCATCGTCCCGCACTTGGTCACTTACAGACGAAGGCGATGGGCCGTAAGGACCTGATGTACCTGGAAGGCGTACAAGAGCTTTAAGCGCTGGAGTCAAACAGAAATGCCTGTTCTGAGCAAGCTCTGTGACTCTCTTTTTTGGCTGCAACGCACTGTCGGAAGACTGCAAGACGGCGGAAATGCGCTTTGGTCAGCATTGGCTCCACAAAAGCTGCTTCAAAGAAGAAAGCGAATTGATGCTGCTTTCTGAGCGATGTGGGGCTGTGCCCTGCCCAGTTGGCTGTGCCTCGTCTTCAACAACAACAACAACAAGGAGGAGGACACGAACAAGAACAAGAACAATACCAACAACAGGAACAACAACAACAACAAACAATTTCCAATTGAACGCTGCGCGAACATGCTCTGTTCTCTGCGGGCGATTACCGCTTTGGCACTCACTATTGGGTCAAAACCGACTTCGGCTCAATTCTGAATGGCATTTGTCTAAAGCACCCAAACTACTAGACCGGCGCCATTCTGAAATGAGCATGCGCCCAAATCCTGTGGGGGGCCTGCGAGTGCTTAAAACACTCTTGGCCTTGACGCGGAGGGGCGCCTTGCCCACATATTGCCGGAACAGGCAAAAGGGCATGTACCCGGAGCGCTCGTCCCGTGGGTCGAGGCATGTTGGCGCTACTATTATTCCGGCTTCTATTGGAGATCTGGTCTCCCAACTACCACACTGTTGAGGGTAAAGATTGGGGAGAACCTGATTCAAAAACTCAGAAGCATCGTCCCCGCGTTACTTGCTCAAGTGATGTGTGGTCCGGAGTGACGCGAACCATGCTGCTGACAGAAACGGCCTGGCGCAACACTCCTTCGCGTGCTTTTTGAGAACTCCAATGAACACACTGAAGGGAGAAGTTGGCATAGCAATGATTCCCTGTGTTTGCAAGCAGCAAAAAGCCATCTAGTGAGAAAGCCGGACTGGCAGCCCCAACTTGCACGGCCTGCTTCGGAAGCTTCCCTGGATCTGCGGATGATGGTCCGCCTTCGGATTTCTCGGCTCATATAGGTTCTTGGCTGAGGCTCCAAACTTCGACGAGAAGTCTCCTGCAGACTGTGCGCCTGCAGCAGCCCACTGTGCAAGAAGATTTTATGTTGCTGAAGCCGCGGTGTGATGACTGGAAGGACCTGCTGCATGATCGCAGGCATGATGTTGCTTATTCAGGCGCTGTTTCACCCCTTTGTTTCCTGCTATGTCTTGACCACACAGAGTGCAGCTTTCCAGGAGGGCTTGGTGCTTTGGCAACTTTAACTCCGCAGATAGAAATAAATAGAAAATCTCCTGCTACAGGCAATGCAATCTGGTGCGCCTTTTGCGGGAATGCCGGGAGGGTTCAAAGCGAGGGCCCTTTAGTATGCGAAACTGAAGTTGCTCAGGGTGATGCTTTTGGGAGTGCCTCTGCAATGCGGCAGTACCCATGAAGATTGCCCCACAGTCCTCACACGTTAGCAGATCATCCTACTTCTGCGGAGATACCCTCTTAGAACACTGTAGCTCCGAAAGCTGCTGTTCTATCCTGATTGCCCTGGGAGGATAATGCGCGGACAATGTTGAGTCCCCAGAAGGATGCTGAACGCTTCATATTTGTTGTTGGCCTGGTGCGTCTCCTGGGAGTGACTCCTCAGAACGAATCTGAACTGATATATCATGTGTGACTCCAGCTTCGATAGCCCTTGCTCAGTAAAGCCCACAACATGCAGCCCATTGTGTTTTCTGCTAGGCCATTCCCAAATCGTCTTGCCAGTCAGACAGCCAGGAGCTCACGAGACTTTCGCCAACGACGTTGGCTCAAGCTGCACACAAGGAAAAGGCCTGATGCTGTGTTTTGGGGCTGCCACTGTTGCTACCAGCAACAGTGGTAGCGGGTAGCGGAGCCTCGTTCGATCCTTGGGATAGTAAGGGTACTTCCCGATCGACCCGGCGCATAGATCCTAAGTCATGGCAGCCGTTCCTGCAGCGGACCAACCGGTCCCCGAAGATGAAGCTGATGAGGAAGAAGAAGAAGAGCCCTTTGACCCTTGGGCTGCAGCTGGCCAACAGGCTGGCGATGCGCCGAGCCCCACCGATGCGGCGGAGTATCGGCAGTTCCTTCAGTTTCTGAATCGCCGTGGCGGGGCCAGGCGTGGCAGAGCTGAGGGCGACGATGAGGATGACGACGACAAAGACAGCCGCAGCAATGCCGGGCCTCCACCTACGTGGGACGGAACGACTCCGTTCCGGGACTACTTGATCAGTCATCGTCCTTCGCCTATACTTCATGTCGTCGAAGGGAACTCCGCTAAGATTGCGAAGCAGCATCGAACCTCGGCTCTGAGGCTTCGTCTTCGTCGTCGCCAGCCACAGTCGAGCCCTTAGATGAAGGCCAAGGATAACAGCGAAAAGCTGCTGAAGGCCATGGACACCCGGGAGCTCTACGGTGATGATGAGCGGGAGGACATGCTGAACAGCCTCTTCAAGATCACGTATGCTACGAGGAGGCAGAAGAATGAGAGCCACAAGGAGTTTTTCTCCCGATGGGAGCTGGCCATCCGGAAGCTGTCCGAGCATAACATCACCCTGCCTCCGGAGTACCTTGGCTTCTTGCTGACGATGGCACTTCAACTCAATCAGGAAGAAGTCAAAGTTCTTATGAACTTCACCCGAGGGAAGCTCAGTCAGAAGGATGTCAAGGGGTGGGTCCGGGTTCACGAGACAGTTCGGAAAGGTGCGCCTCCTAAGGAAGAGCTGTACATATCAATGAAAACGTAGGTGTTGACACGGTCCAGTTTCGTGATCACAACAATGAAGCGGTACCCTCGCTCAACATAATCGACTTCCACACTCACTTTCAGCTTGTGATTCCTATGGCTGCTGAATCTGCCAGTGAAGTTCGCAAGGCATATAGACAGTGGATTCGCTTCTTTGCAAGGTCTTGTTTGATCTCGGGACGGAATTTAAAGCCGAATTCCGTCGTCAGGTTGAAAGCGATGGCAGCGAAGCGCTGCCGAGTTCGCTGGAAACTCCGACTCAGCGAGGCCTGACTGAAAGCGCCGGCGGTGTGTTCAAGGATATTCTCTATAAGTCTATGATCGACTACCAGTGCCAAAGCAGAGAGGAATGGAAGGAGCTCGTCGATATTGCATGTATGACTCGGAATCGTTTGCTACTTCGAGGTGGCTACTCACCCATCCACAGGCCCACAGGGTCATCGGCTACACTCCCCGCCTTCCCGGCGGACTCCTCACAAGCGGAGCCGATGATCACACGCATGCAGCTAGGGTGGTAGTCGGAGACAAAGAGGTAGTTCGGTCGATGAAAATGCGGAAGGCTGCTGCAGTTGCATTCCACGCGGCAGATTGTGACCAAGCGTTATGTTCTGCTTCTCTAGCTGGACCCCGGAAGGTTTTCGACTTCGAAGTGGGCCAAGCGGTCTACTTTTGGCGTCGAGGCGCGGGAAGCACGAAGAAGACCAGACAATTATACTGGGCGGGGCCGGGACGCGTGGCGATGACATCCTTGCTCAATGCAGTCTGGGTTGCCTGTAACGGCCTCACCAGAAAGAGTTCGGCATGCATCTTCAGAAGAGAACCTATCGGTGTCTGGTTGGTTACGTGGTATGTCGCAAACCCGTCGAGAGTTCGAGAAGATCCCCCAGAAAGGCTTCCTAGATCTAAGTGATGATCCAGCAGGTGATCCAGGTCCTCCAGACTTACCTGAAGGAGTAGACGAAGAAGATGCTCCAGCCGGTCCTCGTGAACCTCCTAGCGCCGAGTACCACTACGTAGGGTTCGACAAAAGACTACATAATCTACAGATCGTAGAGAACCTCCCGGTGAAGACGCCCAAGACCCGAAAAACCTATGGAACTTCAAGCTCCCAACGAACCTCCACGAGAAGACGACTCTGAACCTCTAGACACTAAAACCTACTTCCGCCAGGACTCTTCGACGCCGACAACGACATCGAGCTCAACGACCAACCCGCTGTGCAGGAGCAGGCTGCCGATGTAGGTTTGGGTTCGTCTTCAGGGGTGAAGAGGGAAGCCGAAGAACATCTTGATCCTCCTGGAAAACGGAGCCGCATGCATTTGATCGAAGTGTATCATCTCCATCTTCACGGGCTTGCCAAGCAGAGACAGAAGAAGGAGTCCAAGGCCAGCGACTTCAAGGGTGCAGATTATGAGAAACTTCAGACGGCTATTCTCAAGGAGATCATCAATAATCTAGGAACCCAGGCGTATGAACTTTTGAGCCGTGAAGACTCTCAGCGCATTGAGCTGAACAAGCCGGAGAAGATACAGATAATGGAGTCGCGCTATGTGATTACAATTAAACTCTTGGAGCCCGCCGAGGTGAGCAAAGCCGAGAGCGAAGGAGTTCTCTTGGAGGACCGGTCCCGCGGTCCCTGCAAGGCCAAGTGTAGACATGTCATGAAAGGGTATTCAGAAGAATCTGCTCTCGAAGTGGAAATCACCACTCCGCAGATTACCAGAGACTCCGTGATTTTCACTTTGCAGATGCTCGCAAGTTTTCAGTGGGTTCCTGGATTTCTCGATTTCACGCAAGCCTTTCACTCTGGGGATTGGATTCAAAAGGGAATTGTATTGTCGACAACCTCGAGAAGGCATTCCTGGCGCTCACCCGGAAGAATGACTTCGTCTCCTTAAGACCTGTTACAGCCTTACAAATGGTCCACGGGCGTGGTACAAGCATCTTGCGAAGAAGTTGAAAACTCTAGGCTACGAAACCAGCAAAGCTGATCCTTGTGTCTTTTTCCTTCGTAGCAGTCCTGCAGAAGGCTCGAGGTTGGAAGGAATCATCGGAGTGGCCATCGATGATCTTTTGCACGGGGGAACCAAAAGGCATTGGGAGAACATCGATGTGATCTCCAACGAGTATAAGCTTGGCAAGAATCAGCAGGGGCAAGGTAGGTTCACTGAAAAGACATTTTCTATCAGCCAGATGGGTCTACCTTGGTGAACCAGAAGTTCTATGTAGTGCTCTCTTGCAGAAGTCGAAGCTCTCCGTAGTTCCTTGGGAGTTCTTTCTTGGTTGGCAAAAGACTCAAGATGTGACATTGCCGGTCGAGTGGCTCTCTTGCAGCAAGCCTTCCCCGAGCCACAGGTGAAGGACCTCATCGCAGCGAACCGGATCAGCGAGGAGGCACGCAAGCACAGTGACCTGGGATCCGGGTCATGCCCATTCCGGTTGAGGATCTTCTGGTCTCGGTTGTAGCGGACGCAGCTTGGGGAAATGCCAAGGAACAGCCGTGGATTGAAGACAGTCCAGAGGACTACTGGGAGGAACAAGCGGATGGATGGGTTCGTCACCATGCGCAACCTCGGCGGACACCTTCCACCCAGGAGCAGCACCAGCCGGACCGGATCTACATGACCTGACGGAGTACCGCACCGTCGTCAAGTTTGATACGGCGGCGGATGGCACTATGTGGAAGGAGGTCATCGAAGACAAGTGGTCGGATGCCAACGGCATCAGAGTGATCCAGGACGGAGCTTGGACCCGGGAGCAGCTACTTCCCGAAGTCCAAGAAGGAGAAGCTGCCGGCGAGCAAGTTGCACTCAAGCCTAAATAAGCCAGCTGCTGAATCTCAGCAGCCAGGGAGGACAGATCGTGATCTACCACGACCGCCGTCTCTCCGAGACGGAGACGCCGGCTATGACGACGGTGGCTGTAAGGAAAAAGCTACCGGCTCAAGCGGAAGACGGTGGATACCTTGGCGGCTGAAGGACAAGCATTACAAGGAGGCTTGGGGGCGGTGCATTGGCATCGTCTACTTTTCATGGAGGCCCTCTTCGGCGATCTTGCCGTGACCGATTGGAGAGGGCGACTTCCTTTTCTTGCAGCTGTGGACTCCAAGTCTTTATATGATGCCGTTAATAAGTGTGCCTGTACAGCGTCTTATGTGAGCGATAAGGGGGATGCAATTGATGTGGCACTCATCAAGGCGGACCTAGATGAAACCAGCGGCAAAATTCACTGGATTGATACGAGATCGATGTTGTCGGATCCGCTTACCAGGCAACATTCGGGGGCATATCTGAGATATCTTCTCCACCATGGTTTTTGGTCTGTGATGGACCAGGGACATGCTTTGCAAGCCAAAGCACTTGAGCGGGAGGCCAGAAGAGCCAGTGAAACCCTCTTCCTGACGATTTGGGAATGTAGAGTGTGACCGGTGTGTTTTCTGTTAGGCCATTCCCAAATCGTCTTGCTAATCAGACAGCCAGGAGCTCACGAGACTTTCGCCAACGACGTTGGCTCAAGCTGCACACAAGGAAAAGGCCTGATGCTGTGTTTTGGGGCTGCCACTGTTGCTACCAGCAACACCATACATAGCTGAAGCCCAGGCCGTTATGCGCCAGATAGCCTTGCGTCTGCCTCCTGTACTGGACCTGTAATTCCGGACGGCATGAGCTACCTTTTTCATGGTGGTCTTACTGATTGCTAGTCTGCTAGTCGGTGCCGTAGGCAGTTGGCTTCATAGTCCTCGTAAGCTATTACGATCCCTAGGGGCCGATCCCCCAGTTTGCCGAAGAAGCATGGCCGACGTAGCAGGATTGACTTTAAAGCCAGGCTCAACTAGTTGATCCAGCAACAGGGCGCACAGTTGGAGAGCCTCCTGAAGCTCGTCTGCGTCATCAAAGTGCATCTGCAGCAGGCTGCCGTCAGCATACATGGTTAGTATCCTTGCGAGCATTTGTGGGTCGCACTGGTCTGACAAACGTCTGAAGAGCAGGCAAACAATGAGGGTGCAAGTTTGCAGGCTTGTTTGATTCCTCGTCTAGTGGCAATGCTGAACGCACGGGCAGAGGTAGTCATCTCATAAAAGGTCTCAGTGTGGAGCTTGCCCACTACATCAATCAAGAAAGGATCCGCAGAGGCCACCTCCAAGGCTTCACGCACCCGAACCCGATAAACGGTATCAAAGGCTTTGCCCATATCGACACTGAGAGTGGGACTGCCCTTTAGCTTGACTCCACGGGTGCCTTGCCCAGCTACTCGTTGATCGGTTGCGGTTCTGGCCCGGGCTTCATCAATGTGCGCAAGGGATTTGCAAATGGTTTCCTCCGTCCCTCGGCCCGGAGCAGATCCAAATTGAGCAACCTCCGACATGGCTGCCTTCAACGTTGCTTTGAGTCGCTGAAGTACAAGCCCTGCCAATATCTTCCCCTCCGGGGCTACAACCCCGATTGGGCGGAGGGAGGCGGGGTTGTCAGGTCGTTTAGGTGGCTGTCAGGTCGTTTAGGTGGCTTCGGCAACCATGAGCTACAAGAGGATGTCACCGTTGTCCTCAGTGAACCAGTTTGTCCTGTCAGGAGAAAGTCCGTTCCACTCCCAAAGAGATCCCGCGAGTACGCCTCGAGAACCTGTGTTTCTTCTTTGGAATCACGAAAATTCCCCTTGTCGTCCCTGAGCTGTACCTGTTCCCTGGGTTTACCTGGCTTGAAGCTTCCAATGACGTTATAGGGGGACTGGCTCCCGTCTTTTGAGGCTTTGGTGTCAGCAGATTAGAGTTGATCGTCCACCATGGCCTGTCGTGCAGCGAACTTGTGCTGCTTGGCTGACGAGGCCTGGCGCTTTGACTTGCTATGGAGCTCCAGCAGGTCCACACCACTCGGGCGTTAAGCCCAACATGGGGATCAGAGAGCACGGTGCGAGTTTCAGGAAGGATCGGAATGACCGTTCTGCGGTTTCAGATGGTAAGGTCCTCCTGCTGCTGATCCGCGCGTTCCCTGGGAAAGGTTTCCGCAAGAGCTTGTTGAACGGATCCTCGCAGACTGTCAGGAGGGTTCCGAGTCACCAAGGCTTCTTTCCACGCAGCTAAAGCAGGCATGTATCCTGGGATCTTGAAGTCTATAACCGTCCTCCATGTCACCCAGATCTTAAGCTAGTTGGGTCTTTGCGGGGTACCTCCTGCTATGTAGAACCCCACCTCGCAGGGGGAAGTGACGACTTCCCTCTCGCCACTGTGCCACCTCAAACTGCCTATGAGGCCGACAGGCGCTTGCGACGGGCCAATCAGTACGAAATCAATCTGAGAGACTGAATTACTACCTTGGATGTGTGTGGCAGGCTTGCGAGCTCCCCAGGTGTTAGCTACTAAGCTACTGATGGCGTTCATGTAGCTTCTGAAGGTCCTGGATCCACGATGCCCCAGCCTGCAGGTTGATAAAATGCATGGACCGACGTGCCGCCGGTCAGTGCTCAGGGGCATGTTAAAATCCCGTTGCGGCGAGGATGTGGCTGAGCGAGCTCCTTAGGGTCGCAAGTATTCCTGACCGCCTGTCCTTGTTGGATCGTCAGACGTATTGGTAGAACGAAAAGGCATGCAGCCGCCTCACCTAAATCCCT